TAATAAACTGATACTGTTATATTTACTTTCTTTATATCTGTCTCTGTCCATTGGAATTAAGTATACCCAGAGAAGCAGTTTGTCTTTTTCTTTAGTACAGAGAACAGTGGCTGGCATCTAGCATTCATTCACTCAGTAAATATTAGTTAAATGCATGGCTGGCTTACTGGTTCTTGTCCAACTGTTAGTTTCTTGACGTTGATCTAGTTCCTTCAACTCTACATGGCATTGCATAATCAGTGTTTTGAACCACATTCTACATTTGAATTACCTTTAAGTGGCACATTTGATCTTGTAGTATCGTATTACATTTGACAGAATTGCAAAGGCTATACTCATTTACATTCATTCATGTAAGTATAAATATTCATATTTCGCTTTCACTAAATATATGAAATCTAAGTATCTTCAGTGGCAATTAAAGGTTACCAAAGGGTTCAAACACTGGAATAAGGTATTACTACTACAAAGAAAAGTGCATAATATTGGTTTTCAAGTGCAGTGGTGGTTTCTTAATAAAATTTTTGAATTTATTAAGAACTCGTTTTGGTTTGGCTTTTTTATATCCTAGGATACTGTCTGCTTAGCTGCGGACACAGACATATTTTCTCTCAGTATATTTAAAGTGACATCTTTGATAGCTGCCACAGGGTCACTCAAAGCAGAATAGAAGAGTGCCTTATGCTACAGCTTGGTCCCTTGTTGAAACATTTCATAGCAGGCATGCTTCTCAGCAAATGTCTAGATGTGCAAATTAGAATGTGGTCTACTTTTTATGACAGTTGTAACACATACCATCTGTCTTTATAAGGTTGTTTTCATCATTAACTGTCAGTCAATTGGATGTAATAAATTCTCTCTGCGAATATTATTCATCAGCATCACTTCAGTTGAGTTTAAATCAACAGGTGAACAGCTCACTTTTAAAAATATGAATGGAATTTAAAAGGAATTATGACTTTCTAAAACATAACTATCAGAATATATCTTGTGGTTTCTCATTGATCTTGTGGATTCTAAAACCAAACTATATTCTTTTTGATAATTCAACTATTGTAGTTTTATAAAATATTGACCTTCAAAAAGTGATAATTTAAAATATATAGAGGAAGGTGGTTTGTATGTATTTTTGTCAATCATTTGTGTTAATGTTGAGAGTCTGTAAGTAAATGTAGAAATTAGTTAAAATTCACTGTAAGTTTTATTTGTAATATTGTTCAAAAACTTATTTTTTCTCTGAGGCTCACAATCCAGAATTATTAACTTAAAAATTAATGTGTTTCCTTACTTGTATTGACTTCAAGCTAATGACCCACAAATCAACAATCTCACTCTTGCTATTTTACTTGCATTCTAGCCATATTTTTACAACAAACTACAGGACATTGAACATTAGATTCCCCCTTCCGATGCCACATTTTCCAAATATTTATCTTCTTTTTCTTAAAAGTGATTCTTCTACACACTCTTCTCATTTCTTCAAGTGGTTTTATTATTGTTTCAGTCTCCTGAGCTTAAAAATGTACTTCTCCTTCCCCCTTTATTTCTGCCTCTTTCCCCATAGCTAAGAAGTCCAATTAGATCTTCTCTACCGTGTCTTAAGTTTGTGTCCCTTCCTTGCCAATCTCCTGCTGCCCATTGCAGTAAAGACCTAGATTACCTCATAAAACTATATTGGTTTCCCAGTTTATTGCTTGAATAAACATGACATTGCATTGAGCAGACATAACATTACTCCCTTCCTCAAACATCTACCATTTAATCTGATCCCATTTATCTTTAGATAACTTTGGTACCTTATCTTTTTTTTTTTTTTTTTTAACCATAGATCACTGTAGCCTCAAACTCTGTGGCTGAAGTGATCTTCCCAACACAGCCTCCTGAGTACCTGGTACTACAGATGTGCACCACCATGCCCAGCTAATTTAAAACAAAAACAAAAACAAAAAAAACTATAGAGGTATAGAGATAGGGTCTCAATAGTTTGCCCAGGCTAGTCTTGATCTGCTGGCCTGCCTCAAGCAATCCTCCTGCCTCAGCCTCTGAAAGTGCTAGGATTACAAATGTGAGCCACCGTGGCTGGCCTCTTACTTATTTTTAGCATAAACTCTCCGCTTCAGCTTCATTTGAGATCTCTACTATCATCTCTTCCCTTTTCTCTCTGTATAACTACCTCACTGCTGGGGGCCATATTCCTGATCTAAATATCTTGATTTGCTGTGAACTTTCCCAGTTTTGTCCTTGAAAGCTTGTGATCCAAGAAACCCTTCTGCCCCAGGCAAAGGGACATAGTTGTTCTCTCTACCTACTTCCCTAAATCAATAAACAGATTTTTGTATATTAGTTCTGCTATGTTGTAGGCACTTCGTTGTAGGCACTTTACTAAATGCTAAGAATATCTGAGCAAATAAAAGACATTCTGTCTTCTCCAGTAGTTTAGAATCCATAGGTGAGATATGCAATTACAATATGATACAATACATTAGGCACAGGGGCACCTAGCTAGCCATGGGGATTCAGAAAAGGATTCCTAGGAGAAAGAATGCAGGAGAATGGATAGAAGCCAGGTGTAGTGTGGAGTTATTTTTGGACAGGAAAACTTCTGGCTAAGTGAAAAGTTTGTACAAGGGCTAGAAGATTAAATGAAATGTGTATTCTAGAACTTCAAGTAGTTTTGTCTGTTTATAGTGTATTAGCAAGAGGGGTGGGAATAAAGGAGTGGTGATAGATGTGTTCAAAATGATGTCATATTAGAAAGACAGTAATTACCTGGCCATGCGATTTGGAATTTACATAGGGACAAATGGCAATCCTTTGCTGAGTTGTGAGTAGAGAAGTAACATAATGAGATTTAGAAAGGTCAGTTTGCACAACATGGATTAATAATGGTGAAGCAGTAAATATAAGACAGGAAGATGAAAGAACTAGGAAGCTATTACAGTGTGTATTCTCAGAGCTAACCTTTTTCAGATATCCTTCCATTTGAAATACTCCACCAATATCTTCCTCTGCACTTTTCCCAAATTTACTTATTGGACAAGTCTTGTAAACTCATACTTTCTCCAGTCCTTTCCTTACTCTTCTAGCCCTCATTGATCTCTTGCTTTTGTGATTGTTATATCAATGGCCATCATCTTTTCATTTAACAGTTACCCTCTAATTTCTCTTACAAATTATTCTAGTCTCCCAGACATGCCAATTACTTGAAGACACAGATTATCTTTTTCTCACCTTAGCCAAGACAATTCACAAAGACAATGGTTTAAGAAAAAAAACCCAAACCTTAAATTTGGGCTTTTTTATTATATTCCAAACGTTCAGTGCAAAAATATTAATGACATTCATTCAAAAAACATTTTTTATATTATATGTTATTTCAAATATTGTGATATCTCAATTTTAATTAGTAAAGTTCCTATAAGGAGAAAGTGACGTTTCAAAAATAATTGGCTGCTTAACTGTAGCTTCCTACTTCCAGCTTATACTTTCTCTCCTAAAGTTCCAATAATAGAAAAGGTAGATGATACCTTAAGATTGGAAACTGGATATATGCCTTCCTCCTCCTACTTGTAAAACATGTACATACTTTCTCTTCTGCCTCCTCTTTCTTTCAAACTCTTTCTTTCAAACTCTTTCTTTCCTATGAATCGAATGGAAGGTCATGACTGGAAAGAAAAGTGTTTGTGTAAATTGGAGAGACTGTGCTGCATGGGACAGGATTAGATCAGCCTTTACCTGCTCTATCATTCATTCAACAGCTGTCTGATGCCAGGGAGCTTTCTAAGCAGGTTCAAGTTTATATGTTCCCTTTTATTATTCTAAGTATATATAATAACATCTACATAGCAGGATTGTAGTGAGAACTAAAGTTGGACGACATAGTTGGTACCCCCATGTGTACTAGCTATAACCATAATGATGATGATTATTAACCTGCATTATGAAAACTAGATTCATTTGGAAAAGTTGAGGATTGTGACTTTTCAGGTTGTGCTTCTATCTTTATTCAAAAAGGGCAACAATTATCAATGGACTGTCACCAGGGTTTTGGAGAAAAGTGCAATATGGAATTTAAAGGGCTTTAAAACTCTTTCAGTTCCCTTTCTGAACCATTTCCTCTTCTTGTTCTTATCTGCTTCACATACTCATTATTTTCATGTTGCTTTTTGACTAAGTTTATCTCCTCTTTGATAACTGTATTATTTTATTCCCCAAATTTATTTCTCCCACATCTACCTAAATTGGAATTCCTTTTTCCTATTACTGCGTAGAAATATACAATATCTAGGTAAGAAATAATTACCATAAAGAGTAAATAGAAATGTCTTTCTCCTTTCTCTAAGGAAAATACATATTTTGAAAGTGGAACTTGATAAAGTATATAAATTGCTAATTGCTGTGTAAGTTCTAGGAGTGTCTTAGAGTTTTTAAATCTCTGTTTTCATTACTTTTTCCTATATTCCAATTGATATTTCACTATTATTAAAATGATTTTTTCAGCTTATAATTATAACAGTAGTTTTTGTATGCTTTTCACATGATTTAAACATTTTCTTCTTGGTTCAAATACCATGTTTCATAATGTTTGATTTTTTTAATAACAGGAAGTATTTTTCTGGTTTTTCTACTTTATTATAAAAATTCACCATGGTGGTCTGTGTTCACATTCCTTTGAACAGATTCCTCTTTACTTGAATTCTAAGAATTTGTTTTGTATATGTAGTTCACAGTTTACCAATTTAACTTTTAAATTTCTGAAGTATACCAGTTAGGTGCAGTGTTGCTTTTCATGTGGTTAGAAGTTTTAAAATGATCTGTGGTCTTTTTTAAATGTAAAGGAGAGAAAGCAGTGAAGGGTCAGAAATTTCTGCAGCTTAGAATTTCAGACTTTAGAATCTTATTATGAATTATGGTAAAATTGGTTTCTTCTTTTTCACACAATCTTACTTTAGCAAGGCGAATAAAATGATAATTCCCAAAGACTTTTTCTTTTTAAACAGGTGATCAAGTAGTCTGGACTGGTTACTATGGCTTAGTGTATAACCTGGTGAAAATTTCATGGGAACTTCAAGGAGATGAAGAACAGGATGGACTTAGAAATATAATATGGCAAACATTGCAGAAAACAAAGGATTATGAGAAAGATATACGAATCCAAAATGCAATCAATATCGCTCAGGTAAGGTAAAACGCTAGGCAATAAATATGTACATCTATCATTAGGAAGCATGGTTGTCATTTCTCTCCATGGTAAAAGGAATGTCTATATTCAGTGAGTATTAGCGACTTACAGCTGAAAATAATATTTTTAAAACTTAACACTGATCTATTTTTGATTAAAGATAGGAGAGTTGAGCTCTAGATGATAGTGTAAAGGCCTCCAAAAGTCTGTAATAGAAACAGAATTAAATTCATTTAACACATCTAGGGAAAAGTACACCTCAGTAAGGGGTGATTCCACCATAGAACTCTAACTTGGTGGGAAATTCTGATAGAATGTTAGGTACACTAGATTGAAGTAACATGTTAAGCCGTGATTCTTTTTCTCTTTTCTTGATGAAGACGTTTAGAAAGTAATGGAAGTTTTAAGGAGCATAACACAATCCTCTAATTTGAGGGCTATGTTAGGATGAGCTGTGAAAGAACTGTGTAGGGGTGCTTTTACTACCTCATAGCAAGGGCTGCCAAAAGAGGCAGGCTGTGGGTAAGATTCAAATAGTAGGGGTAAGGGGCGGTTTTATGATGTAGCTTTTTACGATGTTAGGAATCCAAAGACCTATTCTCTCACTTGAGCATTTCCTTCCTTGTCTAGTTCAGTGACCAGAAATACCAGGAAGAAGGCTGAACATAGCCATATTATGACACTAGACTAGAGAAAGGGTAAAGGTGGCCCTAACTTCAGAGATTTCAACACACATAGAAAATGAATAGGTAAAGGTAAAAGTTCCTTTGCTGGGTTACCCACTAGCTCCAAGACTCTTCCCTCTCCTCTCAGCCTGCTTGACTACTATATTTATATTTAGATTTAGATATTATACTATATATAAATCAACCTGTATCAGCTAGCCTTCTAAATTATAATTTAGAAGCTTAAAGGGCATCCTGTAGTTAGTGAGAGGATGTAAGAACTTCTATTTTTATATTTTGGGTAATAACACATTAAACAACTACCATATTAAAGTAAAAACACACAGAAACATCTGTTTTTTTCAATGCTGTATCCCAATACACACAATAAGTGCTCAATAAATATATGTTGAATGAATAATCCAAATGAGTTCCCTTTAAATATTAAAATACATGCTATAACTATGTTTAATAATTAAATATTGATGAAATTAATGGCAAAATTATTTTAAGATAAAAATAAAAACCAATAATTTTATTATTAAAAATAACAAAATTAAAGAGTAACCTCTGCAATTCTTTGGAAATTAAACATGCTTTGATAAATGATATGGTTTGTCTATGTCCCCACCCAAATCTCATCTTGAATTGTAGCTCCTGTAATCCCCATGTGTCATGGAAGGTACCTGCTGGGAGTTAATCAAATCATGGGAGTGGGTTTTTTCCCATGTTTTTCTCATAATAGTAAATAAGTCTCATGAGATCTGATGGTTTTATAAAGACAATTTCCCTGCACACGCTCTCTTGCCTGTTGCCATGTAAAACATGCCTTTGCTTCTTCTTCACTTTCCACCATGATTTTGTGGCCTCTCTAGGCATGTGGAAATGTGAGTCCATTAAACCTCTTTTTCTTTATAAATTACCCAGTCTTGGGTATTTCTTCATAGCAGTATGAAAATGGACTGATGCAGTAAATTGGTATTGATAGAGTGGAGTGCTGTTGTAAAGATACCTGAAAATGTGGACACAACTTTGGAACTGAGTAACAGGAAAAAGTTGGAACAGTTTGAAGAGCTTAGAAGAAGATAGAAAAATGTGGAAAAGTTTGGAACTTCTAGAGATGTGTTGAATGGCTTTCACCAAAATGCTAATAGTGATGTGGACAATGAAGTCCAGACTGAGGTGGTCTCAGATGAAGATGAGGAACTTGTTGGGAACTGGAGTAAAGGTCACTCTTGCTATGCAAGGAGACTGGCAGCATTTTGCTCCTGCTCTAGAGATCTAGGAACTTTGAACTTGAGAGAGATAATTTAGGGTATCTGGCAGAAGAAAATTCTAAGTGACAAAATGTTCAAGAGGAAGCAGAGCATAAAAGTTTGAAAAATTTGCAGTCTGCATCCCATTTTTTGGGAAGGAATTCAAGCCTGCCACAGAAATTTGCATAAGTAGCAAGGAGCCAAATGCCCATGACCAAGACAAAGGGGAAAATGTATCCAGGATATGTCAGAGACATTCCCAGCAGCCCCTCCCATCACAGTCCTGGAGGCCTAGGAGGGGAAAAAATGGTTTCCTGAGCTGGGTCCAGGGCGCCCCTGCTTACCGCCGTGCATCCCAGCAACTCTAACCATGGCTAAAAGGGGCCCAGGTACAGCTCAGGATGTGGCTTCAGAGGGTGCAAGCCCCAAGCCTTGGCAGCTTTCATGTGGTGTTGGTCTTGCAGGTGTGCAGAAAACAAGAATTGAGGTTTGAGAACCTCTGTCTAGAGTTCAGAAGATGTATGGAAATGTCTGGATGTCCAGACAACAGTTTGCTTCAGGGGCAGAGCCCTTATGGAGAACCTCTGCTAGGGCAGTGTGAAAGGGAAATATGTGGCTGGAGTCCCCGCACAGAGTCCCCACTGGGGCACTACCTAGTGGAGTTGTGAGACGAGGGCCGCCATCCTACAGACCCCAGAATGGTAGATCCACTGACAGCTTGCATTCAATGCCAGCCCATGAAAGCAGACAGGTGGGGCTGTCCCCTGCAAAGCCACAGGGGACAGAGCTGCCCAAGGCTGTGGGAGCCCACCTATTGCGTCAGCATGATCTGGATATGAGACATGGAGTCAAATGAGATGATTTTAGAACTTTGAAGTTTCATGACTGCCCTCTTGGATTTCGGACGTGCATGATGAGGCCTGTGACCCCTTTGTTTTGGCCAATTTCTCCCATTTGGAATGGGCATATTTACCCAATGCCTGTACCCCCATTGTATCTAGGTAGTAACTAACTTGCTTTTGATTTTACAGGTTCATAGGTGGAAGAAATTTTCTTTGTTTTAGGTGAGACTTTGGACTCGGACTTTTGGGTTAATGCTGGAACGAGATAAGACCTTGGGGGACTGTTGAAAGGGTATGATTATATTTTGAAATGTGAGGACATGAGATTTGGGAGGGGCCACGGGTGGAATTGTATGGTTTGGCTGTGTCCCCACCCAAATCTCATCTTTAATTGTATGGCCCATAATCCCATGTCCAGGGAGAGACCCAGTGGGAGGTAATTGAATCATGGGTATGGGTTTTTTCCCACATTGTTCTTGTGATAATGAATAAGTCTCACAAGATCTGATGGTTTTATAAAGGCCAGTTCCCCTGCACATGCTTTCTTTCCTGATGCCATATAAGCTGTGCCCTTGCTCCTTTTTCAACTTCTGCCATGATTGTGAGGCCTCTGCAGCCGTGTGGAACTGTGAGGCCATTAAACCTCTATTTCTATATAAATTACCTAATCTCAGGTATTTATTCATAACATAAAAATGGGGTGATACAATAAATACTAGAAAGGAATTAATTAATCTATTTGTAAGCACTAGCCATTGTTTTGTGTGCTAGCAATACAGTTTTAGACAAGCAGATAAATATTGTTTTAAATATAAAGTTTGGATCAAGGAGACTGACAATAAACTTGCAAATTAATGAATTAAAATATCAAATGGTGCTATCTATACTATGAAGAAAACAAAACAGGGCAAAGCTACTGGAATGGGATCAGCTAGAGTAGGGAGTGGATGTTGCAGTTGGAGCAGCCAGAGAAAGGTTTCCAATGAGGCATTATTTGAAATGAGACCTAAATAATAAGAAGGAAGTATCCATAAAAAATATACCCTGGTAGTGAGTTTATGGATACAAAAATGTGTCCTACAAAATGTGTCCTCTAAGAAAATAATTAGTCTGGTGTGTTAAGAGAGCAAGAAGACCATGTGTGCTGGCCTCTGGTAAGGGAAGGAAAGAGTGGTAAGAGATGCAGGTGGGCAAGGAGAGTTGTTTTAAGATGGCAATAGTAGCATATAAGTAGTAAGCTCTGGGAATAATTTTTTAAATGTTTGTAAAAAATAAGAAAAAGTTTCAGTGGGAAGTACATTTAGAAAACTAAAAGCATACTATAAAAAGCATAGAACTGATAAATCCTAAAATTGTTTCCTTGGGTAAAATAAAAATAATACATAAACTGTTTTAGACTAGCTAATATAATGGAAAAATGAGGGAAACTTTTATTAATCACAAAATCCAGAGGGTAAAGGGAATGTGATTATAAGAAAGTAATTTGAAAATGATTATAAAAGGATCAGTTTACAACTGTATGCTAATATATGTGAAAATATAGTACAATAAATGATTTTCTAAGAAAATATAAATGATGAAACTGGATTGAAAAAAGGATATAAAAACCTTAACAAACAAGATTTAGAGAAATTTGCAAGTGACCTACTAGATTTGTTCATATGAATATCAAGGACAAGACGAAGATATTCATTAGTATCGCTAATATTTAACATAGTTATTGACACACTAACCTGTGCACTCATATTTAGCAGGTAACTGAATATATGTTGGGTCATAACTGGAGAATGTTTAAATCAAGTTTGTCGTACCAAAGCAGTAGGTGAGAGTAGCTTAAACACTTCGGAACAGAGAAGAAAATAATTCAGTTTAAATTCCAACTCCACACAATCTCTTTATACAGATGAGACTTGGAACAAGTTATTCCTCAGCCTTAGTTTTCTTTTTTTTTTTTTGCGGGGTCGGGGGGGAGTATTTCTAATGCTCACAGACAGGGATAGTAACTGAAAATCACATAAGAGACAGGAAAGCTGAGTGATTTTGAGAGCACAGACCTACAGCAAAGGTTGCCTGGGTTCAAATGGCTGTTCTACCACAGAATATCTAAGTGACCTTGGGCATGTTTTTACCTCAGTTTCTTTCTCTGAAAATGGGGCTAAGAATAGTATCTAATGCATAGGCTTGTTATGATGACTAAATGAATTCATGTTATAAAACATTTAAAGTTTTTGGTAAATAAATAAAATATACTGAGATGAAAGTTATTT